GCCTCAGCCACTTCGAAAAATTCATGCACGCCCTTAATGTACTCGGAGGTGTGTCTTGAACCGTACATCCATTGCCGGTTCATCTGCGTGCATTGTGTCAAAAATCATTACAGAACATCATGAATAGATAATTAAGTGACCAAATTAATAGAAGTTCATCATCACATTAAAACCAAAGTACATACATAGTTCTCATCTAACAACATAAAGCTCTGCAGAGCATCTAAATTAATTAAATCATACATTAAAACTATGTAAAATATTTCAATGCGAAAACAAATGCGATCATAATCGCAACCAATGTAACAACTGATCCAACGATATAATGATACCAAGCCTCGGTATGAATGGCATATTTTCTAATCTTTTTAATCTTCAAGCGCATTGCATCCATCTTGATCTTGTGATCATCCACGACATCCGCAACATGCAACTCCAATATCATCTTCTCCTCCTCAAATTTTCTAATTTTTTCCTTTAACAAATTGTTTTCTTCTTCAACTAAATTTAACCTCTCGACAATAGGGTCGGTTTGAATTTCCAGTTCAACAACCTCCTAGATAAATAAAATCTATGTCACGTTGGTCGGCATAATTGTCATAAACAATAGATGAACCAATAGTTATGAAAAGATAATATATACCACATCCGAATCATAGACAGGACGAGGGCCGACGGGGGCGGATACCAAAACCATCGCACTATATAAGATGCAATAATAAAAGTAAGAAAATTATACAAGTATCTATATAAACATAAAAGTAAGAATTTTTTTTCCTTTCAGAAAGAAGATAAGAATAAGAGGCTCACCACGGTGATGCCGACACGAGATCGGCGCGGGCGATCGACGGTGGTGAAGACGGGGACGGGACGTGACGGACCGCTAAACCTAGACAAATATTGAGGAAAATGGAGCTTGGAGGTCGAGCTTGGAGAGGAGAAAGCTTAAGTAGTGTGGCTCGGGCATTCCATCGAACACCTCGTGTGCATAGGAGGTGAGCTAAAGCACCACAAAGCTCTCTCCTCGCCGGCCACGAAAAACAGAGCAGTGAGAGTGCTCTGCTCGCGGGGTATATATAGGCAATTAATTGGTCCTGGTTCGTGGCTTGAACCGGGACTAAAGGGAAGCCTTTGGTCCCGGTTCAGGCCACCAACCGGGACCAATGGTGGTGGGCCAGGAGCAAGGCACATTGGTCCCGGTTCGTCCCACCAACCGGGACCAAAAGGTCCAGACGAACCGGGACCAATGGCCCACGTGGCCCGGCCGGCCCCCGGGGCTCACGAACCGGGTTCAATGCCCCCATTGGTCCCGGTTCTGGATTGAACCGGGACTAATGGGCTAACCCGGCCTGGACCATTGCCCCCTTTTCTACTAGTGTATGTATACACTTGTGGCCTTTATCTCATCAGCATCAGAAAATCGAACTTGAGTCACTATACTCTTCAATCCATTATAGCAAATGTCATAGCTCATGGCTCCCTCTAGATATCGCATTACTCTCTCAAGAGCATGTCAATGGTCATATCCCAGATTGGAAACTAAACAACTTAGTTTGCTCACAATGACATTTTTGGCCTCTTGCGCTAGCTAAGTACAAGAGCGAGCCAATTATCTGAGAGTATCTCAACTGATCTCTAGTAGCCATTTGATTCTTTTGAAGCAATATACTAGAATCATAAGGAGTTAGAGAAGCTTTGCAATTGAAATATCCAAATATGCTCAACACCTTTTTCACATAATGAGATTCCACAAGAGTAATCCCATTATTTTCATTTCTCAGCAGCTTGGTGTTTATGATAACATCGGTTTCTTCAAGGTCATTCATCTCATGACATCGAGATAAGAAAGTTTTGACCACGTCAATGACTTTGAGTGTGGTCCCAAATATTAGTATGTCATCAACATACAAGTAGGGATTACTCCTTCGCCCCGCCATAGTGGTAGTAGACACATTTGTCGGCTTCATTAACAATAAAGCATATGGGTGTTGAAGTTGTGTCAAGAGACTAGCAACCTACTTTTTCGATAAAGGGTGGATTTTATCAACATAAAATGGAACATCAAGAGTATACAAACACAATGAACACACACCCGACCTCTGCATAATTAGAATGCACACAACCAACACCAAGACGCACACACAAAAACACGCCGGCAAGTAGGAAAGTCATATAAGACCAAAGCTATGCGTAGACAAGAAAAAAAAAACAAAGCGACCCGATCCACCATTGGCAAACTACGACAATGATCATATCCGCGCCAACCATCTCATGACACCATACGAGCGATGAGGTTTTTCAACAATGATGCCTTCAAGAAGGGAGCAGTCAATCACCGCCGCCATCAGATCCAACCACTCAAGGCAGAATCTAAGTTTTCACACATGCATATGAGTTTTCCTCTAAATCTTATATTCAAGAACCATAGCAACTCTAGCATAGAAATGTAAACATTAATTACAAGCATGGAAATAAATAAGAACATTTACTACTACCTCTAAGGCAATATTTCCAACAGGTTTCGACAAGCCGTTTGACTCGGCATACTGGAAAGGCTTGATTAAAACGAATTCTTCATAAGGATTTTCTGGGTACGCAATGGAAAGACCATGAGATTTTGCGACAACCCATGGCTTGGAGATGCACCTCTAGCCTTCAGTACACATCTCTATATAGTATTGTACAACAAAAAGAGGTTTTTGGTGCACCTGTTTTAGGGAAGTCGCCGAACATTCAATTACGTCGGGCTCTAGTTGGGGATAAGTCGATTGCATCGCTGTATCTAGTTCGCCGGTTGATTGCCATCAACTTAATTATCACAGGAAACCTGATATATTCAGCCGAAAGTTGCACTCTCCTAGTGTTTCTCCGTCAAGTCCATGCACACTGATCTTATGGACTCCTAGGTACTCCCTCCGTTTCAAAATAGATGAACCAACTTTGTACTAACTTTCGTACAAAGTTGGGTCATTCCAAAATTAGTATAAAGTTGGTTCATCTATTTTGAAACGGAGGAAGTAACTTTCAGTATGAAGTCTCTTTCGAAGATTAAAAGTACCCTTTTTGATCAATGTTTTAATGTGGTATCTCAATCATGGTGCTATTTTGACCAATCGTGGATGGAGGGATGCGGAAAATATTGTTTTGTGAACAGGAGGAACCGATTCAACATCTTTTTTTATTTCATGCATGTTTGCTGCTCTCACTTGGCGTACGATTCACATAGCCATTCATCTGTCTCCACCTACCATCATACAAAAGTACGTTGGGGACTAGCTGGTGGGGGTCCATGTGAAAGCGTGTGTCTTATTGTGAGCAATTTGGAATTACCATAATTACTAGTGTTTATAATAGAAGAAACCTTTCAAAATTCTTTCAAGTTATCTTTTTTAGGGGATCTTGCAGGGTTATCTTCTGATCTACAGGATGAATCCGTATATGATGCTCTTTATAATGTGTGGGACATCTATGGCCTTTGATTTCCAACCGATGGTCGCACGGGATACAATGGATAGCGGTCCAATAAGAGATTATGTATAGGAGTGTAATCCCGTTATTGGTTGGTTGTGATTGGTTTTATTTTCTGCATTTTGTGCTTCTTCGGATGTTGGTTGCATAACGCTAATAAGGATGTATATGTGCATCACACTATGCAGTGGTCATGGGTTTCAACTTCCATTTTGTGAAAAAAACAACATTTGTAATACATTCATGGTCGTGGGAGTTGCATAACTAGTGGAGTAAGATAGATATATTCATTAGAGTTGCATAATAAAACCCGGAGAAGAAAAAGAGCCGCATAACAAAGGGAGACAATTATTACCGCGTGGTAGGCATGGCGATCAATGTTTAAATCATTCCCAAAAAAAGGGAGACAATTGTTCTCAAGTTTCAGTGGTAGCAACTGGCTGGAAATTTGACTAGTTAAATACTTGTAACTCAATCACGCATGTACTTGAGCACACCGGGGATGTGAACACCATAGAAATAGCTGTCCCAGTCGATGGACTTGGGATCGAAATCAAAGTAGAATTCTTCTGCAATGTTGCTATGTTGCTCCTTCTTCATCGCCATCCTTAGCCTCTCCGTGTTCATGTCATCAAAGCTTCACACGGTCGAGAAAAAACCAAGTCAAAGAGCCGTGCTTATCTTACGCACTGTAAAAATGTTACTACATTTTGACGCGTACGTACGTACCAGCCTTTGAACAAGCTGTAGGGCGCGTAGAGCTCGATGAGCTGCACGATGAACCTGTACTTCCTGCTGAGGTCGTCGTAGCGCTGCGAGAAGAAGCCGCAGAGCGCAATGTTCACCAGCCGAAGCATCTGTTCTCCATCCAACCAACCCAGCAGATTGATTGAGTAGTCTCATCCTCATCTCACTCCAATGAGTCCCATTCCCATCCAATGTTGAAATGGCGGGCTAATTTTGAATTTACCTCGAGCGGGAGCCTGTACCTGACGGCCATGTACAGGCTCAGCCGCGCCACCGTGCTGAAGAAGCGCATCTTGTTGAGCCGGGCGGGCTCGCCGTTCCTCCCCGTGCGCGGCGGATTGTCGTAGAAGTAGCGGTGCCCCGTATCCGCCAGGATCGCGTAGGGCGCCGGGTTGCGCAGCGACGACGTCACGTGGTAGATGGTCTGCGCCCGCTCCTCCGAGTGGGCCGCCATGGCCACCATCATAGCGTTCACCACCATGTCCCCAGGAATCTGTCCAAAACAGTTGGGTAACTTACTAGGTATGCTACTCCGGGTTAACTTTGTAATAAGCACTTTTCAAAAAAAAACTTTGTCATGAGAAAACTTAATTACCACGTCCATTATCAAGCTGAGGTCGACTAGGAAGAATGGCAAGGTCTGCTTGGCGTAGCCGATGACCACCGCGTGATCGTCCTGCGGAACCCGAACATGAAGATGTTCATTCAATTAATGCTTATTGTTGTAGGAGTAGTTTACTGTCCTGAGAAAATAATCAAGAAACAGATTCTTGACAGAGTTTCTGTCACCTGATTCCTTCCATCCATCCAGGTAATGGCTCCTTGAGGATGCTGGTTATGATGCTCGGCCGGAGGATGACCACGGGAAGCTCCCCTGGCAGATGCCCCAGCAGCATCTCCCCCATTGCCTTGGTGAAGACATAGGTGTTTGGCCACCCAAACTGCCGAGCCCTTCATTCATACATGTAACCAAGGTTTTGGTTACCGGTCGAAATTTCAAGATTTCCCATGGTTACCACGTATTTCCGTACCCCTCGGTAAATCGCCATACCGAGCAAAAAATACCAGTTTTTTGAAATTTTGGAATTTAAACACTCGATTTACAGTAAAGTACGTAGGATCTAATTAATCCCATGAGAGTTGGTTCTGGCATGTTGGTATCAACCTAGTTCCTATTTTGAGAGGTCTCTGGTTCGAATATTCGTTCATTCACTTATTTGAATTCAAAATTCAACTATAAAATTCGCTTGAAATATTCTCGGTATTTCTCGGTAACCGTGGTAACCACATTTATCCGTGCCCCTCGGTAAAATTGCCTTATTCGGTAACCAAAACCTTGCATGTAACAGATGTGTCAGAATTGCATTAAGGCTAACCAGTTGCAGCAGAAAGAAGTGCACAAGCATATCTATGCTGTTGTTGTTTATGTCTGACCTCTTGAGGCCAAGCTCCTTCATGGTTCTCCTCTCAGCCTTCTCCGAAGAACAGTTGTCCTTCAACTCTCGCCTGGTCTCTCTGATCAGAGTTAACTCGGATTCGATGTCCAAATGTGTGCCCTCCCTTAGTGTCTCACCCATCAAGAATGGCTTCTCTAGTATTAGCCCCTCTTGTTCACCAGCTACATAGGCTGTTCAAATCATGTAATCCATTTATGTAATCCACAATGCATTGATCAGTCTTATTGATTTCCCACCAGTTGAAACATGAAGCAGCATCTTGAGTTTCGTACACTTCCTTGCGAATGCGCACACGTGCTTCGCTCCCAACACGTTAGCATCGAAAGCCACGTCGTATCTGAAAAGGCATCATATCTTGATCAATTATTTCAAGCAGCGTCTATGTCATGTCGCTAATCTCTTACAAATACATGCACTGGGAAGAAATTCCTACCGTTTCGTGTTGAAAGAAAAACTAATACAGTATCTTACAAGGAAACACCGGCTCAAACCTTTCAGAGAAGTTTGTAATCGCAGCTATGTTGACGATGATGTCTATGTCCTTGGACAATTCTCTCAGGTTGGCAGTGTCTAGTCCAAAGTTCTCATACATGATGTCTCCTGCCAAAGGGCATATCTTTTCTTCGATGAAATCGTCGAACCCCATACCATGTTTTTCTTTCAGAACTAGAAAGATCTCCCTCCCTGTGACCTGAAAAATACCGAAACAGCGTTCATAAATTACTGCTACAGTACTATGCAGTTCTAGAATTACTCTGGGGAGGAAGTATTTCTGAGAAGTGAATGCTGCTAACACAATTGCAGACTTGTTACTAGATTCAGGAAACCTGCAAAATTTTAAGTTTATTTGTCAAGTGCACTGGAGAAGCCTCGACTACTACCGTGTCCATCTATCTCCCATCCTTCTCCCTTTTTCGTGCTCTGTTGCCATTCATTTCCCCACAGATATTTGCGGTAATTTGGCACTGCTTCCTACTCTACTGTCTTTACTCCACTGAAAGGATTTCTGCAGCTTCCACCGCAGATTTGCTCAATAAGAAACATCCATCTCGTGAGTGAATGGGTGGAGTAAATTTAATTGTCTTCACATGATTCATTCATGACCCCTACTTCTATCGGTGGACAGCAAGATGCATTTATGCTGACCTGAATATTGGTGTATGGCTGATTGAAGTAAACGAATTGCTTGATATATCTAGCAAACAAATAACTGTGGTATTGATTTGCAGAAAATACATTTTGTAGAAAACAGTCTTTGATATGGAATTATTGATCAAGACAACAAACAACTTTCAGCAAAATTATTTTTGTTGCTGAGCCCGGGGGGTTTCCCTCCTTTTCGAAAAAGAAGTCAAGACTCTCTTTTCTTTACTCAAGTGCCTATCTACTTTAAACCAAATGGGCAGGGAACTCGCATGAATCTTTTGTGAGCAAAGCTTCGAGAAATGCATAAGGTGTGCATGAGTTCCGTGCAGTACGAGTTTTGACATCACCTATATTTGCGCACGTGCACACAATAATACTGAACTTCTCTCCGTGCAGTACGAGTTTTGACATCACCTATATTTCTGAAGTTCCCTCTGTTCTTGAATGGCAGAGAGAAGTTCAGAAAGTAAGCAAGGATTGTATTGTCCGGAACAAATTAAAATGGCGACGAAAGTTCAGACGCGGGGGAGTTACAACTTACAAGACATGTTATCGAAATCAAAGAGAGAGAGGCCAGAATGAAACACTTCACCTCAGTCTGAATCCGAAGCTTTGCGGATTCGACGTCGGGGGCGCGAACCAAGAGGAAGAGCTTCTTGACATCAGGCTGCACCCTGAGTATCTTCTCCACGAGAACTGCCCTCAGATCAGAACAACCAGCGTATGGCCCTCTGAGATGATCAGCTAAAACGCAGCGCACATCCTGAACGATTAGCCGTGCATGAACACGTACCTTTTCCTAAGAACCCAGTTGAGCCGGTGATGAGGATGCTCTTGCCGCCGAAGTATCCTACGACCATGTCCGCGTCCATTTCGCCGATCATCGTTGCCGAGCTTGCAGTGCCTCGAGAGGGCGTGAGATCTGTGTCTCCTGGCTGAAAGAGTATCTGTTGTGTGTTAGGTTGTCAAACGGAAGTATCACTCTGGTTTTCCTGAGGAAGTGGCACTCGTGTATTTATAGGGAAGGAAGGAGAAGATGCGTTTCAGAGGACAGATAGAAGTGGTGGGTCATGTGCTGAAAACGCAACCCGGTTTCAATTGCTACAATACGGTTGCTATTTTTACTTCAGAAATAATAATGATATTTGTTCATCAGAGATAATGGTCCCCGTCTAGGTGAGATCATTTTTCTCATCCGAAAATGTTCCTATATGTTTTTCTTCTCAACCACTTAGATCAATAACACAGGTAGATGAGATCATTTTTCTCATCCAAAAATGTTCAAATAGTTTCTTTCGGTCTCAACCACTTAGATCAATAAGGACATCTCCAACAGTGACCCGCAAATTTCCTCCCGCATTTATCCGCGAACAGAGGAAGACCAGTCCGCGGACAAGGATGCAGGAGCCGACCATCCAACGCTGCCCGCATACATCCGGCCTCTATTTTTTTTCTGAAAGTCCGCATGTTTAAATAGCCACATACATAGGCCTTTGACCGTCGAAGATGCTCAATAGATCTTCCTTCAGCTGCTCGTGAGTTGCTCGATGCCGAATTTGTTGATGCATTTGAATAAAGCCTTCAAATGTACTCGGATTCTGGTTTGGAAGTTCGATAGGATCAACCATTTTCTTAAATTCTAGAGACGTGGCAGCATCCTCGACGATCATATTGTGCATGATCACACAACATGTCATAACCTCCCACAAGGTCTCTAGATCCATTGTTTAGCAGGTCCACGAACAATTGCAAAACGGACCTGCAGAACTCCAAATACCCTCTGGATATCATTTCTAGCTGCTTCTTGTCTTTGGGCAAAATGAGACTTTTTCTAGAAAACTAGGTTAAGGATGGTGTTGAAAAAGGTAGCCCACGAAGGATAGATACAGCCACAACATAGTAGCTCATGTTGTACTGATGTCCATTGACAGTATATTAGCAAGGAGGAGTTTTTCTTTCAATCAGCCTCGCAAACAATGATGATCGCTTTGGCACATTGATGTCATTGTGAGACCGGGCATGCCAAAAAAAGTGTGCCAAATCCAAAGATTATGTGATGCAACTGCCTCAAGAATGATGGTGGGCTTCTTAACATGACCGTGATATTGCCCTTGTAAAGCCTTCAGGTGGTTCTTCCATTTCCAATGCATGCAGAGATCCAAGGAAACATGGCCACCTTCTTGCTTCCGAGATTGCCAAGAGCCTCTCAGTGTCTGCCACAGTTGGTTCTCTCAGGTATGGAGGTCCAAACACCTCAACCATAGTAGTTGCAAACCTGACCACGACATCTCTGCATATGCTCTCAGACATCCGTAGGTACTCGCCCCACAAATCAGTGGTCGTGCCATATGCAAGCATCCGGAGTACGGCCGTGCACTTCTGGCAACCAGAGAACCCAATCGTTCCCACGGTGCCCTTCTTTAAGATGAAATAGTCATCATAGGATCGGGGCCATGGTACAAACTATCGAAGACAATCTTGCACATATGAAAACGCCGGCAAAAATGGTCAGCGAAGAGTGCATCCGGGGCAAAGTAGTCATTCATCGGTGTCAAATGGTCGGGCGCCCTGTTGCGGTTGAGTATTCGATGACCCTTGATCGCTCCCTTCAAATTGAGAACATGCTCCTCTGCACGCTCCGCGTCTTCAAAGACTGCTTGCATCATCGGCATCTCATCCGGGCAGCCCTCCTCGTTGAACGAACCATCGAACAACTCAACATAGTGCTCGTATATGTACTCCAAAACGGAATCCATTGCTTGAAAGAAGAAGGGACGACTTTTTAGCTCTAGCAATTCATCGAACAGTTGTCATGCATGTTGAGTATAGCAATAGCGGATGCTACCTGGCGAGGCAGTCGGAGGGGAGGAGTTGAATGACGACGGAGGAGAAACGGGATGGAGCCCGGCTGGAACACTCGAGGTGACGGAGACGTAGAGTTCCGGAAGGGGTGTGGCATGGCGGCCGGGGTGGTGGAGCGGCGGCAAAGGCGGGAGAGAAAGGAGAGAAAATGGGGAGGATGGAGGCGTGGTGTTCGGGAGGGGTTTTGGATGGGCCAGGGGTGTCGATTCCTACGTGGATATTGTCCGGACTCCTGCAAAGCCCTCTATGTTTGTCTCGAGTTTGCTGGAAAAATACGTCTGAACCGCTCGGCGGATCGATATATGCCTGCATTGAATGACAAACCACGTCCAGACCTTGCGGTCCAGACGTATGTGGGTGATTTGAAGGTCCGCTTTGGAGATGGCCTAATATTGGTAGTTGGAGAGGCTAAGTCGGTTGGATGTGTCGTTTTGCTAATGGCACTGTACATATTGTAGTTAAGGAAGATTGTATGAATAAGTCGTGTAAAACATGGTTTCGGATAGTCGGTGGTAAACTTGGAATTTCGGTGATTTAATAAAATGCAACAAGTTCCCACTTAGAAAATATTTGTAGTGGAATGGAGTCGTACATTGCACTTAAAAAAATGAGGAAAAAGGAGCAAGACTGCTGATTTTCGTTAGTGGAATATAAGAAGAGAAACGCACAAGTGGCCCAGCGGTGGAGAAAGGAAATAATAATGAGGAACAAAAGCATTGTTAGTACTCACACAATTGGTGTGAAGTGAAGCATAGGGGTCTTCATCTCTGATCATCAAGATGGCATGATTAGTTTTACCTTTTACGCCAATCGTTCTTCTGTTCTACTCTTTCGATTTCAAAATAAGTGTCTTAACTTTGTATTAATTTTAATATAAAATTTTATTAAGGTTAAGACATTTATTTTGGGGCGGAGGGAGTACTTACTTAGCTACCTTGCTTATGCACGTGCAATCTACACTTTTTGACAGAATAAGGATCCAGTTTTTTTTCCTGCAATTGTGTGGCCTGTCCGTGCCTCTGTCAAGCTTGATTTCACACAAGCAAAGACAGCAATCTAATACGTACTCTTTTCGGTAATTTTGTTAAGTTACGGTTCAAGACGGGACACCGTTTCTTACTTGGAGACCGTTCCTCCAGTATTTATGCCAGTAACCAGCGACCCAAAAGCAGCGCCGTTCTCTGAAAAGAGAGGCTGCAATTTGTGTCAACACTATTCTTGCTCTTCCGCAGAAAATTGTACCACTTGCAGAAACTATCAGAATCATAGTAACATATGATTCTACATCACCTGATGGCCAGGAATTTATTTGTAGTTAGTTTGTCGATTCTTTCACTTGTCTTTAACTCATGCACAGCTCACTCATGGAGAAACAATAGTTCTCTGGATGATATTGTTCCACGTTGTGAACCTTCTTCCCATCCGTTTGGTCTGTGCAAGACAAAGAGCAGCAGCTTTTGGCTATCCATGTGAAGATCACATGGTATGTGAGCTCTTATGAATGTACTCCTAGGGATCATTTCTTACAGGCAAGTAGAGATGAGACGAGACGAGAGACGTCCCCCGCGCGTCGCCTCTGGCGCATGGGGAAAACCCTAACCTCGCCGCCAGCCGCCCCTTCCCGCTCCTCCCCCGCTTCGCCGCCCCCGGAGGGGACACAGGCGAAGCCCGCGTGGTCCCCAGGGAAGGTGGCGGCGGGGGGTCCTCGTCGTTCTCGCGAAGATCTCGCGGTGGCTGGTGGCGCGCGGCGGAGTTCCGCCGGTGGTCGGCGCCTGCTGCCCGTGGGGCGGCGTCCCTCACGGCGGCGGGGCTGTCCCTGAACGGCGCTTGGTGGTGGCCACGTGGCAGCGCGCGGGTGGACCAGATCTGGGCTTCCGGTCTGCGTCCTCGCCGGGGCAGCGCTTGTCGTTGCCCTCGGTCATGAGGCGTGGTCCGGGACAGGCCGAGCGCTGGTGGTGCTGGCCAGGACGCACGCTGGCAGCGCCCTACTTCATCTGGCGTCGTCTCGCTGGCCAATGGTGGTGGTCATCTTCTTCGTCAGAGATGGCCGGCTAGAGGCTTGGTGATCGGATCTCGGGATCCATCATCTAGTCCCGGCTGCGAGTTGGGGAAACATGGTTGCCGCTGAAAACCGAGCCGTTGGAAGGTGATGGCGGCATTCTACGCCGTTTCCTTGATGGAGGCATCGTCGTGTAACTACTGTCGACCCACTCGTGCTGCTCTGGAGGAAACCCTAGGATCTGGTGTTCCAGATCGGACGATGGCGACACTGCGGTGTCGTTTCTCTCTTGGGAGCATTGTTTGTGGAGCAGCGCTGGAAGTCAGAGGCAGGAGGTGGAGCGGCTTCGCCTTGCACGGAGCTTCGGTGGAGATGTCAAGTCATGTCTAACCTACGCTTTGTCATGCCTGATCGGCAGGTGCTACGCATGACAGATTCTCCAAAGACTTCAAGCTGTGTCGGCTGGTGGTACTTGACAGCATGGTGCTGAGGTGTATCAGTGGCGACCACAACGTGCTCAGCTGTTTGCGCACAGGGAGGAGGTGTCGTTGGGCGCCGTGGTGGCGTCGATGATAGCTACACCTAGCGAGGTTGATGCATCAGTACAGTTCTGAAAATGGAGCGGTGGCAGTTTGCGGCAGCGGCCTCTGAGAGCACGCCGGACCGGCGAGACCCATGCCCGGCAGGCGTCCTGGATGGGTCCTCAGGTCTTAGATGTTAGGTTTGGCTGCGATGTTTGTTTGGTATTAGGCCCAGTCTATCTGAGCCCCTTCATCAACTGGATAGGTGTAGCGACAGTTTGTTGCTTAGAGGGCGGCTTTAGGATTACTGTGGTATTACTTTGTAAGGTCTTGTGAGAATAATTAATAAAGTGACCGTATGCATCGCCCAGATGCAGAGGCCGGGGGTCATCCTCCTTTTCTAAAAAAAACTCCTAGGCATTATTTTAAACTGCAATGTTATGCTTCCATAAGATAATTCTGGCGTTTTGTAAAGTATACAGCTTAAATCTATGACAGGTCA